AAGAATGAGATGGGCTGGGCATGTAGCGCGCATGGATGGGACAAGAGGTGTGGAAGCCTGAGGGGAAGAGACCGCTGGGGAGACCTAGACGTAGATGGGAGGATAATCTCAGGCGGGATCTATGGGAGATAGGAGTTGAAGGAGACTGGATTTTGTTGGCCCAGGACAGGGCTTTGGTTAGTTCGGTGATGAACCTTCGTGTTCGCTAAGCCATCTAGTTAGTTAGTTAGTTAGTTATTGGGACATGGCTGCATCTTGAAATGGCAAAGGTTCCCGGTGACAAAGACGGGTCTACACTACCGACCATTCCCCATACATTTATGTCAATCATTCCGGCCAGCAAGTGTTGTGTACTTTACAGCTAAAACATTGTTCTCATGTTTTTTTTATAAGGCGTAGGTACACAGAGAAGTGATAAGTGTTTTGTATGTGTATACAACAGTAGTTCCATTGGAAGTTTAATATTTTCCAAACAGGTACTACGGAGACATCACCACATAGACCACAAGAGGACGGTCGGGGACATTCTTTGCCTCGCCTTTCAGACATCATAGAATCACTTAAAAAAAGTATGTCAGTATGTCAGCACAATGCTGACACTGCTGATAACTAGGAAAGCACTTGTGACGACCAGGGGCTGACTAAAGTCACACACGGGCAAACGAGGTGGACTGATGCCGAACAAAAGAACGGAGTCTGTCCACAAAATGACGGTCACATCGGCAAGTAAGTGGTGTATAACTACTCGGCAATCCTCGCCGAGGTTTTCCGTGCTTTTCCTCAGTTGAAAGGAAAATTCCAATTTATGAATCAAAATTATCCCCCCAAAATCGCAGAGACCATCAGTCAAAGCTATCCCAACTGTTCTCAGTTCAAATTCAATACACGCCGTCAATGCGTTACACCACTAACAAACGGTGAGGCGTGGAGGGTTAACTCCATGCATTCTCAACGTTGGTATTACTGGAAGTGTGTCCAGATTCACGTTCTCCGGCCCTCGGTAACTCCTGAGCTGTAAACTAGGCAAGGCCCAGAAGAGGTCTGGGCGTGGTGGCGAAAGGAAGTGCCTTTGTTCTGACGGGAACAGCGTCCTAGTCACGCAGCCAGGAGCCAGTGACTTTACTTAGTAAGCAATCCGCGATCATAGTATGGAAGAAACAAATCGAAATAATGAAGGGGTGAAGCAGTCAGAACCTTTGACAGTGTGAACAACTTCCGAGGGCGTTGTTCAAAGGCGCTGTGATCTCGAAAGGAGAGTAGAAATGACGTATCAAAGGAACGAA